AAAATCGCACATCATATTACCATATTGCCGACAGCAGTAGTAAAAGTTACTACTAGAAAAGAAAACATTTTATTACGTACAATTATTGATTCGGGAAGCGATAGAAATTTTGTGACATTAACTTGGTGCAAAAAGGCTGATTTACAAATTCTTCCAATATCAACCCAAGTGATCGGGTTAGGCAATTCGTCACATAAAGTTATTGGATTAGTTAATTTCACTTTGAAATCTTTAATCGATTCTTATCAGTTATCGGTCTGTGCATACGTAGTACACGAGATAGTGGGAAAGCAACCACAAATTACCATTCCGATTTCATCCATCAAAACATTTCTGAATTATCCTTTAGCGGATCCTAACTTTCATACACCCCAGGAGGTCGACGGAATTTTGGGTTGCGATGTTTTCGGCGAAATTCTTGGCACTAATCAAGTTAAAAATGATAAAGGATTACCTGTGGCCCTAGAAACCCGGTTGGGTTATTTAATATTAGGTTCCATTCCTGATTTATTTGAAAATACCGGCACTTCTACTAATTTATGTAATGTTTCAGATTCAGATTTCCATTTACAAATGAATAAATTCTTACAATTAGAAGACATTCCCGAAATAATCCTCTCTTCTAACGATGATTTATGCGAAAACCATTTTACTACAACTACTACGCGATCTCCAGATGGACGATATGTAGTAGCGCTGCCTTTTAAAAGTGAAGGCAGAAATTTATACAAATCATTTCATTTAGCCTTAAAGCGATACCAAATGCTTGAAAATAAATTTTTGAAATATCCCGAATTTCATAAAAAATATGCCGCCGTTATAGAAGATTACCTGACCCAAAACCAATTATCCTTTGTCGATTATTGTCCGGTAGATCAGGAAGTCGATGATTTTATTAAAATAAAAAATGGATATTATATTCCACATTTCGCAGTCGAAAAAGAAAGTTCCTCCACGCCTTTACGCGTTGTGTTTGATGCATCTGCGAAAAATTCAGAATTCACTTCCTTGAACGAAATTTTGCATGTTGGTCCTAAATTACAAACCGACATTTGTTCAATCCTTCTAAATTTTCGTTTCGGGCCTATAGCATTAACAGCTGATATCAAACAAATGTATCGTAATATTTGGGTTCGTAAACAAGATAGAAAATATCAAAAAATCTTATGGAGACCGGTTCCCGATGCACCCATTGGCATCTATGAATTAAATACTGTAACTTTTGGTCTATCGTCATCTCCCTTTCAAGCTATCAGAACCATCAAACAACTTTCCCGAGACGAATGTTCCAAATATTCTCAATCTATTTCTAGAATTCTTGAGAACGATGTCTATATTGATGATGTGGTTACAAGTATCGACTCCTTGGATAGCGCTAAAACCATTTGCGAGGGTTTGCAGACTGTATTATCGTCTGGTGGTTTTGAATTAAAAAAGTGGGAATCTAATAATTCTAATCTGCGTAAACTTTTTCCTGATTCTGATGTACAAAATAAACATTTCTCTAAATCGGATTTTCAAATGGAATCTTCTACAAAGGTATTGGGATTAAAATGGGATCCCTTATCAGATAATTTTTCATTCGAAATAAAGCTTACGTGGAGAAAATGGACCAAGAGACAACTTCTTTCAGTAATAGCGCGAATCTGGGATCCTCTGGGTTTCCTAACTCCGATAGTTGTTAAGATAAAAATATTATTGAAAAAAATTTGGACCTTAAAAATCGATTGGGATGAGGAATTACCATCATTTATTATTACATCATGGTTAGCCGTATATTCCGAATTAGAGCATCTTAATAACTATCAGATTCCGCGTTATCTCGAAACGTCAAAACAAAACAAATGTACATTATTTGGTTTCGCGGATAGCTCAGAGCAAGCGTATGGAGCGGTAGTTTATATTAAATCTCTTGGCAATCCGAATTTCTTGTTGATTTCAAAATCGCGTGTAACACCGATTAAAAACCAAACATTAGCCAGGCTTGAACTTTGTGCCTGTCATTTACTGTCAAAACTTCTGAATTTTATATTAACGAATAACCAACATAGTATAGATTTTGATTCTATTTACTGTTTTTCCGATTCTATGATTGTCCTTCACTGGTTAGCAGGACCGGCTACTCGTTGGAAAACATTTGTAGCCAATAGGGTAACAAAAATACGGGATCTCATTCCTAATGCACAATGGCTTCACATTCCTTCTAATCAAAATGCAGCCGATTGTGTTTCTCGAGGTCTTCGACCTAAGGATTTTATCCAACATAAGAATTGGTTGTTTGGGCCGGATTGGTTGAATGGTCCTATATCAACTTGGCCTGCAAAAACGGTTGAACCTTCCGGAGATATTGATCAAGAAAGAAAAGCTAACGCTCTAATAGTAAAGAGTGTCATACCACCGATCAATCCTTTATATGAATTAACGCAAAAATTTTCTAATTGGTGCAAACTTGTAAGAATTTTCGCTTATATATTGAAGTTTTGTAAAATTATAACAAATCGAAACCGACTTTTGACTTCAGATTTGAAACAAGCCGAGGTTATTATTATTCGTTTAGTCCAAGAACATCATTTTCCCGAAGAATTCAAACTATTAACGAACGGAAAGTCTTGTTCGAAGAAGTTTTGCCGACTAAATGTGGTTTTGGATTCTAATAATTGTTTACGCGTTAAAGGTAGATTAGGATTAACAACTAATAACAATCCACTTCTTTTGCCAAAAAAAAGACCAAGTAGTAAATTGTCTTATAGATTACTACCATATTAATAATTTACATACTGGATCAAACTTAGTATTATCTTTATTGAGGCAAAAATATTGGATCTTGTCGGCTCGTGCAATAATTCGTAATCGTCTTCACAAGTGTATAACTTGTTTTCGACAGAATCCGAAACCCATTTTTCCATTCATGGGCGACTTACCAGTACCGCGCATAACAGCCAGTAGTGCTTTCCTAAACGTCGGCGTTGATTATGCAGGCCCCTTCAATATCTCCATGAGTCGTCACAGAGGCGCTCGAACCTACAAGGCTTATATATGCTTGTTCATCTGTTTAGCCACTAAGGCGATACATCTCGAATTAGCTTCAGATTTAACAAGCGATACATTTTTAGATTGCTTGAAACGATTCCTAGCCCGGCGTGGTCCTATCAAATGTATTTACTCCGATTGTGGAACCAATTTTATAGGAGCCAAAAATACTCTTGATTCCTTATTCCTTCTCCTAAATTCCGAAGAGTATAAAAAGCGTTTCAATGAATTATTGGTTTTACATGACATTGAATGGAAATTTAATCCACCGTTTGCCCCACATTTTGGAGGTATATGGGAGGCGAATATTAAATCAGTGAAGACCCATTTGTTTAAAGTTATAGGGTTGCAAATTTTATCCTACGAAGAGTTTAATACAGTCCTCAATCAAATCGAAGCCTTACTGAATTCAAGACCGTTATGTTGGCTGAGCAATGATCCATCGGATCCTCAACCTCTTACGCCTGCGCACTTCTTAATGCAAGAGCCTCTGTCGGATTTGCCCGTTGACTATGAAAACTTGAATTTGACTAAAAGAAAACAATTGTTAGATCATATTGTCGCTTCTTACTGGAAGCGATGGAATGTGGAATATCTAACCGAGCTACAGGTCCGACAGAAATGGAATACAGTCACTAATCCTATTAAAAAGGGTGATTTGGTAGTTGTAAAACAAGAGAATGCGCGTCCGCTTCATTGGGGGTTGGGAAGAGTTGAAGAGGTTTTTCCGGGCCCTGATGGAGTGGTTCGAGTAGCATTGGTAAAAACGGGAAATACCCTAATCAAGCGGCCTGTTGTCAAACTATGCCCCCTACCTATTCAATAGTTTATATCTGAATTATTCATTTCAAAAAAAAAAAAACTTTTCTATCTCATGATATATTTGCTTCTATATATAGTTTTGCCAAATTTTCAATCTCCAGGGCGATGAGAACACCCCTCATAGTCTCTGGAAGATTCTTGTAATTGTCCAAAAAATCTAGACCCTGGCGCGAAAATAAAACTTCCGCAATCTAGATCGTGTGAATGTGGTAGGTCGTGAGAGCGGGACCCTGGCGCGATGTCAGGCTTCCGTAACCGATCTACTCTGAATGAAAGTTTGAATTTATTTTGGCAATTCTATCCTTCCTAATCATGAGGTTCACTATGTACCAATTTCGAGTATTTTCAGAAGTATAAAAGGCTAACCTTTAGTCGGGGGAAAATGTTTGCGCCGCACCTGTGTAGGTTGTCGGACCTGTAAAAGGTTTGTTTTTCTACTTGGACAACACGTTTCAAATTTAGGCAATCGGGCAATTCTGACTCATAAAAAGGCCGATGCAGGCAATAGTTTTTCATTCAAATCAATTCATTCCGCGCCTTTCATTCGTTCAGTTACTTTCAGTTCCTTACAGTGTTCGAGTTGATTTATTCCGTGGTTTTCATTCATTTTGGTTTAATTCATTCATTCAGTTACTTGCAATCAATACATTCAGTTCCTTTCAGTGTTTGTTATCAGTTCAATATTATCAGTGGATTAAATTTCTATTGTGTGTCAAGTCAACAGTTATTTTTATTTGTCAGTGTATTCGAATTTCTTTTCAACCTATCCAACCGACTACGCTGATGTTTCCAGATCCAACCAAATAGCTGCCGCGGCTTGGACTTCCAAAACAGATAACATTTTCATACAATATTAATTAGTGTTCATTTTTGTTTTTTCATTATATAAAATTTATATAGAATATATTTTAGTTTATTATTGATTACGGAGTAAGAAGAATTTTATTTTTAATTTATATTTGTTTACCATTGGTTTTTGTTTTCTGAATACATTTAATTTTTTTATTTTTCCTCGAAGTATAAAATACTTCGAAAGGGGTTGAGAAACCCCCAACATCAACAGAGGTTTTCCAAGGTGAGTGTTGCACCTGGACCTACTGGTTTAACTATGCTTTTTATGATAGGCACTAAAATATAATTTTACTTACAATATTAAAATGCACAAAATCAAATCGAAGTTGTGCAATTTCCTCAGCCGGTTGTTTGATAATAATCTCGCATGTGGCTGGAGGATCAGTGTGAAGTCCAGGAAAACCAGGAGAAACTATGTATGTGATGTTATTAGCTACTTCGCCGCCACATGTAGCAGTAACTAAAAAATGATCATTTGTATAGCGCCTTATAAAAAAATATTTATCACATAAAATGTAGTAATAATTTTATCATATTAACGTATTTTCTAAGAAACAAACCGAAATTGAACTTGAACGCTAAATTTATAAATGACTTTTTATCTCAAACAAGTCCTCAATTTATCTCAAAGTTTTAATTTCGATACTTATACATAAATAAATATGTTCTTGTTTATTATGAGAAATCATTTTTTTGGACGGCTAACAATATTTACTATACATTGAAGCATTTGAAGATATACAATAAAGGATTAATAAAATGATAAGACTCTGAAGTAGGTAATATTTATTATTAGTGCTTATGAATAAATTAATCAATAAATATAATCATCAGTAAACAAATTATAAATTTTTATATTCATCAATGAGCTTTTCCAATATCGCATAAAAAATTTTATAAATATATAAAATAAAATAATAAGTAAAAAAACTTTATAGTAATAAAAATAGAATTTATTGCAGTCATTTTTAGAGCAGTCTTAAGTAAGATGACGTCTCGGTTTGGTAGAGGCAGTCCGGGATTTCCACCTTATCTCCCGGGTTTTTCTAAAAGCTTTATTTGCATTTAGATTTTATAAAGTAAGGTATAGGCTTAAATTGAATCTTCGCCCTTACTTGATAATAAAATTACAACTACCCATCAAATATCTGAAAATGTTATGTACAAAGAATACATTATGAATGTAAATAATGCTGAATACAAAATTCCGAAGGCGGATTTCAATATCCTCTTACTTTAATAATTTTGACGAATGTTAACAAAAATTATGAAAACTTTTAGACTGTTGTCTGGCCTAAGTGCTATCATTAAGATAATTTAAAAAAAATTGAATGGCAAGTTTAGAAACAAAAAATATAATATAACAATTAATCGAATAATAGAGTCCTTACTATAAGTCATTAATTCTGATTTTAAAAAAATAGATTTATTTAACAAAAAAAATTGATTTTTATTGCATTTTAAACAGTATTTATATCAAAAATATTAAGTTTTATTGCATAGTGATAGTGTTAGCGTACCTTTTTACCAGCGGACCCTTAATCCTCGCTCTATCTTATTAACTTCCCGTAGGGTAAGTTATAGTAATCGCAAAAAAAATCGAAAATAAAAATTTGTATATATCTTTACGTTTCAGAGGTTTCTGAATATTTTGGCATACCTTAGAAAAATGGATGTATGTGTGTGTGTGTATGTGTGTGTGTGGTGTGTATGTGTGTGTGTGCGTGTGTGTGTGTGTGTGCGGATACAAATTTTCGTCAACGATTTCGGGAACACGGATGAAGCGATTTGAATAATTCAAAAAACATTCGATTCGTATTGATAAGACGTGCTGATTAGTTTTTGGCGAAGACAGATCAAATTTTCATGAAGGCAGGTCTAGCAATTTCGGAGATCTAATGAAAAAGTAAAAAAAAAATGCCATTTGGCGGTCAAAAATGATCATTAGACATATGCACATCATCAATTATAGATATTTTATATAGATTTTAACAATAAGTATAATTTTGTTTATGTTCCTATAGGTTCCATACCAATGTTTATCAGTTAGACGGCGACGCGGCGCTTACACGCTTCGATATTTCGTCTCTATGCAGCTAAAGCAGTACGATTGCTTTGAAAGAAGTTCAGAATTTTCAAACCATGTCAAAATAAAGAAACATTTTTTTTTTTTTTTCAAAAAAGTAACTTTTGTCAAATTTATAGTTTCTCAAAAATCTAATTTTTTCGAAGTAAAATTTTTTCAAAAAGGTTAATCGTTTTTAAAAAATAATAATTTTTGGTACGGGAAGTTCCAGCAATTTACACGATGCCATGCGCCCCACTAGTATAATATTGTACTTACATACGCACAAACTCCGAAGCCGAGGGCGCAAGATCCGCGCGCTGTTCCACCTTGAATCCTGCACTCGTAAGTGTTCAGGCACAAACCGGCGCGCCGCC